TGATCTCATTAACGATAGCCAAATGGCGGCCACTTTAAGGCCGAAAATGCATTGAAATCGCACATTTTCACCATTCCGGACCCGGATCTCAGTTATGCATGGACGGATTTCATTCAAATTTGGTACATACATTAAACATAATAGGACCTTGATGCACGTCATTTTTTTTTCCGGATCAAGTTCGAAATAGCCGACTGGCGGCCATTTTGTTTTAAAGAATTCAGTTCTGGATCCGTATCCGAGACATGTCTGGATTGATCAAGTTCAAACTTCACACACACAAGGTACATCATGTCACAAATATGTATGTGCATTTGTTTCATGATCTCATTAACGATAGCCAAATGGGGGCCGCTTTAAGGCCGAAAATGCATTGAAATCGCACATTTTCACCATTCCGGACCCGTATCTCAGTTATGCATGGATGGATTTTGTTCAAATTTGGTACATACATTAAACATAATAGGACCTTGATGCACGTCTTTTTTTTTCGGATCAAGTTCGAAATGGCCGACTGGCGGCCATTTTGTTAAAGAATTCAGTTCTGGATCCGTATCCAAGACATGTCTGGATTGATCAAGTTCAAACTTCACACACACATGGTACATCATGTCACAAATAGATATGTGCATTTGTTTCATGATCTGCTTAACAATAGCGGAATGATGGCCATTTTAAGGCCAAAAATGCATCAAAATCACGTATTTTCACAATTCCAGAACCGGATCTCAGTCATGCATGGATGGATTTTGTTCAGATTTAGCACAATGTGTTGTACATATGCAGGTGCATTTCGGTCATGATCTGCTTTGAATGTATATGTCACTCAAATATGAACGGAACGGGGACGTGTCATTGACAATGACTTGTTCTAATTTGTTTCTTTATTTTGAGCCAAATAGAAAGTAATTACCATGGGTATTGGTAATTTTGTTTTAAAAATAGGCCAAAAAGAAATATTTTGTGAAAAATGACAAATGTGTTCTTATCCACTGGGCGTAAGACAAAGATAGTTTAATAAGTATTCACTGTAATAGAAACAAACTGACATAATTATATTGATTAACGCCCACGTGTTATATTAAACAACAAGAATACGTCCCTCGTTTTGTTGTCGCTTGATGTTTATCAGTCGTCGTTTGTTTTAGTTAACATGCCACTTGTTTGGAATAATGAAGTACGTACATTAGTTTATTCGCCTTGTCAACTTGACTTTCTGTGCGTTTTAATGGCTCAAGCACCTACAATCTGGTTTAGCATTAAATACAAAAAATCGTCTCATTTAAACGCACAAGACATTATGCTTTAATTATTCTTAATTTGTTACAGTATCGTAGACCGATGGCATACTGTAAAACATGTTGAAAAAGCGACATGCAATTTTAGCGAATTGTGGTAAAATGACATAATAGCGAAATGTTGATTTAGCGAATCTCTCTTGTCATTGTTGATTTCCTGTTTTCACAATACTTGTCTGTCGCCTGCCAAAACAAATACGCAGTTATCACCTCGGTAAAAACAAAAGAAAAACCGTCAAGTGTAATTGGGAAGCGCCTCAGATTTTTATGTTCCGGATTATACAAATCGCCAAATCTTGGCCATTTTGAATTTATAAAAAAGTCATTAGCGACATCTTGAATTAGAAAATTAGTTCTCTCGCTAAATTCGCTAAAAAGACATGCTCGCGAAAAAGACATGTTTTACAGTATATATATATAGCAAAACAATCACAAAAACCAATGGAATGTTCATGTCATATTAGCCAACATTGGAACTAATATTGTCTTTTTAATTTGAAATAATAGATTATATACAAACTAATTATATATACTCCTTATACATGTATATCTTATATGTGACTGAGTGTTAAGTCATTTCGGATTAGGAAATAAACAGAATATTTGTAATTTAAAGTCATAAGTTATTTTATCTTCGGAATTAAAAATATTATATAAATGGTGCAACCTGGTGGTGGTGCAAGTACTGTCCGAAAAGTGTGTCAGCCGTGATAATCTTTATATGAACAGACAACCCAAATTGATCCGTGATTTCGAAAAAAATATTGTGAAAATCTGGCAATTGTGAATATTTATAAGTTGAATTTGGGTCGACCAAATAGTGGAGCACGAAAGATAGGATTATGCTTACATAATTTCAAATAATTATATTTGCATCATTAATTAATTAATTCATTAATTATTATTTTGTATTTTTTTAAGATATCGACGAATGTAGCAACCCCGGCAATAATGTCTGCGACAGTTTAGCGGATTGCTACAACACTCCTGGTAGTTATTATTGTCAGTGCAAAGATGGGACAGACGGTAATGGAATTACCTGTACAGGTAAGATGCGCGATTATAAAATAACGATCTAATATCTGTGTGTATTTAAATGTCTTTGCGCAACGTCGTGTGCAGGACGAAATCTGTTTTGTATGTATTACGTGGACTGTTGAAATATAATGAATTGAAATGAAATCATTTGGTTAGCGTCAGATTTTCCGATTTGTAATTAGAAAATGGGGCTTTTTAACGCAAAACACAGAGAATGTTTAGGTGTAAAATAAAATTGAATGTGTTTCGAAGTTCAGGTTCAATGAGCCATTTTCAATGCAACGTTTCCTAATCACTTTACAGTGTACCTAAATATTTTGAATTCATCGGCGGTGCGCTGTACCACTCCCAGCCACTTAACTTGTGACTTCCCTGTTTTCACGATGTCGTTCACTAAGCGCCATCACACGACCGATTGAGTTGTTCTTTCGTTCTGTTCGTTTGTTTATTATTACTCCTCTGTACTCGTCCTTGTTATCCGCCATTAAACTTCGCCCGTACATTACAACAATGGTCAGCTGTATTTCCACTTGCGATTAGGTTTTGCTCTGATTCCGCGTGAAAATACTAGTTGTTATATAAACATTATTACACTATTGTGAACATCACGCAGTGCATATTGGGAAAACAATCATAGCATTATAACTTTACACTCACATTTCTATTGGATACTTTGTACTTTGCACACGGTATGCTAAAAGTTGGTTTTAAGACTGCTTTTGCTGAATATCAACATTTAAAATTAAAGTGATCGAAAGATTTCGAATACTAGTTCCTCAATTATTCATTCATTTTCGTACGAGAATGTCCGAAGTGCTCCGATCCATCCGCTTTTCGCCGACTGATTATTTTGATAACAGATCTTTCTAAACACATAACTTATTACCGAATTGTTTTCTACCTTACAGCTATTGATGAATGTAAACTGGGAACTCACGACTGCGACACCAACTCCATGTGCGTTGACTTAGATTTTGGCTTCTCATGCGAATGTCTGCCTGGGTATATAAGTGGAGGAGACACATGCAATGGTAGGAACATATATATTCAACGTTTAAATTTATTGATTGTATGCAACGAGGTCAAGGTTATAGCGCCCTCAACCTATGAAGTATAATTCTAATTACATATGACTGCTTCTTGCGCAATATTACGCTATAAATTTACTGTTGGTGTATGTTATGAGTTATGTAATAAGTTTAAGGCACTTTGACGTGCTGGGACACATTCCTCTTAACGATGAATCTGCTCAATGTGTTTAAAGCGGAAGGGTCATCACCTGCGCACGCGCGGGAATTGAGTTCCAAGCGACGATAGCAACACACGCTAAAAATGCTAAAGCTTATGGGTAGACGTGTGTTTGTAAACAATGACACGCTATGGCCAACTGACGCATGCGCAAGTGACGACTCCCCCGCTTTAATTATAATTACATACAGTATATCTATATATATAGCTTGTATTTCGCTGTTTTGACAAAAGTGTAACATTAAACTATTTTTTTTATAGAGAAGATGATAACCAAAACAGGGTTTGATTTTGGTATTGATATATTGCATTAATTTCTCAACTTGCAGATTTCGATGAATGTTCGGATGCAGCTTTTAATGACTGCCACGTGAATGCCGCGTGTGCCAACGAAGACGGCTCATACACATGTACCTGTTTACCTGGTTATGATGGAAATGGGTTTATATGTCACGGTAAGAATGAAATATAACATCTTTTAAACGTTTGTTGATGTATTGTTTCGCGATGTCTGAAGTCTATTTATCAATTTAAAAAAACGCGAAATTTATTTATTTATTTATTTATTTATTTATTTATTTATTTATTTATTTATTTATTTATTTATTTATTTATTTATTTATTTATTTATATTTATTGATTTATTTGATATTGATTTGATTGATTGATTGATTGATTGATTGATTGATTGATTGATTGATTGGTTTATTGATTGCTTAATTGATTGATTGATTGATTTTCACTTGGTCACCTATCAAGTGTAATTATTGAAAAATTGATTTTTGAGTTTTTACCATTTGTTTCTTTTGGTAAATCTTGTTTTTGGTCTGGGTGCAACAAGAGGGAAACGATGACATGTAGTAGGAATTGTTTATACGTATGTTGTGTCCCTGAAAACGTACACTTCTCAACAAGCGAAGTTTTTTTTTTTAGTTTGGTTTCAAATTGATAATGTAATCATTATGAACTAAAATGTGCCAGCTGATGACACATCAAATCCACATTTGACTTTTTGATGTTTTCTCAATGTATATCAAATTATTGTTCACATGGTGTCAATAATGCATTAAATAACATCAAACTCTACTCGCTCATGATATGTATTCTGTCCTATACTCAACAGCTCCAGACGTGTGTGAAAATGTGGACTGCGGCGAGGCTTACTGTGAGCCTGTGGACGGCGTTGCCACGTGTGTGTGCGCCAAAGGTTATGACTATATACTCGTCGGACAGACTTGTGAAGGTATACACAGCCTTGAATCTTATTGTACTAATATGAAGTTATTACGGGGATACTGCAAAGTATGCATGAAGGCAGTACAGCGGGAGTATTGACCGACGCGCAGTGGAGGTCGACGCGACCGCGTACTGTCTTATTATTATACATCTTTTCCTCCCAGGGAATGCCAAAACCACCTTATCGACTTTATGTTCTAGCCAATTACCCACCATGCGGTTCTGTTAGAGTACGTTCTATTCAGAACTGCGATTCATCATCTCAAAACTAAACGTTTTGTTACTTTCTACACACACGCAGCCTTCGACGAATGTGTGGAAGGAACCCCTTCCTGCGATGAGAATGCCGACTGCATTCCTACATCTGGTGGCTATGAGTGTAAATGTATTGATGGTTACTATGGCGATGGACAAACATGTACAGGTGCGTTGTAGTAACTTTCTAATTTGATTTCATATATACTGGGAAATTGCTTAATCGTTTCAATATGGCAGACAGCATTATGAACTATGACTCATTGGCAACAAAGAACACGTTTCAATAACCAAATATATTGGGAACCAAATATTTATATGTATTAGGTTTCAATGTTAATATTTCGCTTGTTCCTATGATACGATGAATATAATTAATATATTGATTCCGAGTATTGATTCTCATCAATATTAATTTATGCAATTGTTTGTCCATATTTGATCAGAAATAAGACCATGTAACTGGAAATCGCCTTTTGGACATCGTTGTGGCGGCGAGAGTACTGGATGTGAGGAAACCACGGGTGGTGGATACAAGTGTCCCTGTGGAATCGGATTTAGTCGTAATAGCGATGGTATATGTGCTGGTAAGTGACACAATGACATGGTGCAACATCGTGTACTACGATTCGTGTTTTGTGTTACACAAATCTATGGCAATTATGTACATATATTCTGATCTATATTTATCAATAAATCGATTACATACACACACGTATGAAACTTTTCCCCTGTTTCATGAATCGCATCACGGGCCAACATCGACAGAGAAGACATTCGCATTGAACAAAATCAATCAAACAGTCATTAAAATATTGATTATTGAGAATTGTAGTAGTTATAAAGTTCCGTTGACATGTGCTCTGTGTTAGACAATGGGAGGGCATTAGTGTCACATTTTATGACAATTTCGAGCAATTTCAATAAAAACGCAAAAAAGAGTAAAGTTATAGCAAATAGCAAATGCCCGCTATTTTTAGATCTTGATTTTGACATTACCATGTGTTCATGTCTAGATACATGCTTATATATCTATACGACCGATTCATGTAGCAAAATGTGAGGTATAAAAGCCTGTTTGTAGGGTTTGTCGACTAAAACTCAGTATATGTTAAGATCCATACTCCATTTTGTGATTTTGAGTATATACATTTATATATAACCTCGTCAATATTGTTTTATTGTCGAAACTGGTGTAATATTGTTTGTACATTGTGATATTAAAAAAATAAACCAACGAAATCAACATGTTTGAGTAACTAATTTACCTAAATCGAAAACAAGGAAAAGTAACTGATAATTATAGCTGGGGAAAATGCATGAAATCAAAAGGATAATAAAATCTCTGTCGAAGTCACTTTGTTGTGCATGGTTACATTTTTGTTTATTGGAATCGAACATCTTCGTTAATATTAAATAACATGGCGTACTACTCATTCAAAAACATAATATGGTGTGGCATCATCCTGCATATTTAACAACATGATGGGATGCCGTGTGACGTCATCCTGCATATTTATTACGACATTATTTGTAGCTAATACTATTGATTATCATCCTTGTTTTGTTTTTTTAGATATCGATGAATGCAGTCCTGGAACTAATACATGTGTCGCCACTGCGCAGTGCACGAATACGTACGGTGCATTCCTTTGCACGTGCCCCGATGGATATGGAGGCGATGGTACGGTCACCGGGGAAGGCTGCATTAGTAAGTAGAAAACAAAATAAACACCGTATATATATATATCCCACGTTCAAACAGTAGACAAACATTTCATTTTATCAAGCATGGTATACTGTAGATGTATTAATTATTCACTGTTTTTTAATTTCGCTATTTTCACTGATCAGTAAAGCGTACACATGCGAAATAACAATAGCCCTCGTGAACTTAAATCCCAGTAAAATTGATCGAAACATCAATATAGTTAATTCAAAAGCCAGTGAAAATAAATGGTTTTACAGTATGTTGCATCTGTCCCATATTGACAACAAGTCTGTGGCGCAAGTGCGTTTATTATGTAATTTAAAAAAAAGAATAATGGCTGTATCATTTTTTTTTTCAATTATCTCATTATGTAAATCATTCAAACAGTGAGTTGCTGTATATTTAAATGTGAGGTTATATTTTTCCGCAGACATCGATGAATGTGCACTAGGGACAGCAATATGTGGCGCCAATACCGAGTGCGTTGATAACGATGGTAGCTATACCTGTTCGTGCGTTGACGGGTTCAGAAAATCACAAGCCGACAGATGCGTTGGTAGGAATATATTCAAATTATCTAGCACAAATACTTGGTATTCACTGTGTCAATTTATGTTAATTGAATTCTATGTGTTGCGTATATGCAGTGTATATATTCTATATTTACTATAGTATTTGTATTTTGCTGGATCACAGACAAAATACACAAACAGGATACCTCTTCTGAAGAGAAATCAAATCGGCTGATAACAATTGACAAAGAATGAAATAACTGACTGGCACTAATACAACTTACTCGATATTGTTTTTCATCTAAAACAATTGTTATAAATACATAAGAGGACATCCGATTAACTATTTTTAATTACGTCATACGCTTGATTTGAATTAATTGAAGATATATTCGGACACTATATCCTTCAAAATTATAACATTTCGTTTTATATTCGTAGATATCAACGAGTGCAGTGAAAATAATCCGTGTGGACAGGACGCCATTTGCACCAACACCAAAGGAAGCTACGAGTGTATATGTCAACTTGGTTTCCAAGGTGACGGCTTCACATGCCAAGGTAACGTCGTATTTTTATGATCAGTACGTCAAATACTGAATTATGAATGAATTGTGGATTAGCGTCTTCATAAATTATTCTATGCGTGAAAAGTTCATCAAAGATTAAATAAGTATTGATCCATAGTTTCGTTACGATTTACTGTTTTTCTTCATTCTATTTGGCAGTGTCTACAAAGTTTAATGTTAGAGGAAAACTTAGTTGCAATGTTAATTTTATCATGTGATTAATTTGACAATCAACGTGCATGAAAATGAGCTGACAAATAAAGTGAATAAAGTACAATAATACGCCGCGTTTACAATTGACGCTGGGAAATTCCCGTATGTGAGCATGTGGTATATTTCATGTATATTAATATTAAAACTGTAATACAGTTACAAAAAGTGATGTGATCCATGTGTCATAATGCTCTTCAATATTTTATTCAGGCTATTATTTCACAATGTATCCAGGAATTCCTAATGCATTGATAAACATTTACGAATCAATCTTAAATCAATTCTAATTTGAATACAAACTGGATTTTGGAGGATTAACTCTGAAGCATAACGTCTATTGCGACCATGCGTGTAATATTTTTATTTTCTTCTTTACTAGATATCGATGAATGTTTGGAAGGTACCCATCCATGCCATCAATTTGCCGACTGTAGCAACACACTTGGGAGTAGCACGTGTACTTGCCGGGATGGTTATATTGGCGATGGCATAGTTTGTACTGGTAAGTTAGTGCACGTCCATCTATCACATTGTACTACTGAATTAATGCTATGGTTATTGTAAACTAAATATTTAATTAAACCAAGAAATGACTGGACAACGACCCGACCTAATGTTGAAAAGTTGTTGTAACTTGTATTTAACTGAGATGGCGCTGTTATCCTGCTGTATGCAGATGACATAGTTGTCACTTGTCTGATGTATACCTTAAGTGTTCTACTTAAACAATATGACTATCAAGCAGATTATAGACGGAGCGTGCCACACTTGGAACAGCATGTTATGACTCACTGTGAAATACTTGTATAAATCGTTGCGGTGGCCAAGTAAATATATAAAATTAATGGGATTAATTACTGTACGTTTATCTCTATAGAAACTGACCAGTGCCCTGGAGAGACTCTTCAATGTGGGACTAACGAGTACTGTGTGATGGTAGGCGGATCGCCGACATGTCAGTGCAAAGGAGGCTATACCCTGGATCTATCTGGCAACTGTATTGGTAAGCTATTTATCACCTCGCTTGTTTTACATGTCATCCACGGGCCTGTGTGCGTGTCCTCCATGTGTTGATATTGTGTTATTAAGGTTAGATTGGGGAAGTTATTTTTGTCAAAAATGAATCGCATGATTTTTGATATACTCTGAGTGAGTGATCAGTGAAAGTGCAGTCTCACGTAGTGTTTTAATTCCCCAGCTGTTCTGGTGTACAGAACTGTTTTCATTCATATAAACCATGCAAATTGTATACTGCACTATTTTTAACGTAATTTAATTTCACAGTTGGAAACATGCGCCTCATTCCTTGCAAATGTGTGTGACAGGTACTTTTTACCTGTATAATGGCACAGTTAGACTTGCAATAGAAGGGTTGTTGAATTGGAACTAACCGGTTCATTTTGTTATGTCTTTGGGCAAAGCATCTTTACTTCCGTGCTTTTTTTTTCAAATGGGGAGTAACTGAGTATGTATTGAGACAGTGATTGCTATAACTGTGACCCTAAGCTGGACGCAGCTTGAGCTCTGCATGTATTGACGACGGTTTACAGACAGATTCAGGGGTTAATAATATAAACCAACTATATTCTAATTAACTGGGTATATGAAACTGTATGTATGTACAAGTGTATAAATGCCCACATACTACACCTACATAGCTCCTATGGAATGCATAACTAACCATATACACCTTATTGACAGATATCAATGAATGCTTTGAGGGAACGGATTCATGTGATCCGGCAGCATCCTGTACCAATACAGACGGGTACTATGTATGGCGTGTAATGCAGGTTACCAAGGAAATGGACACTTTTGCGAGGGTTAGTCATGTTTATTTCAGATATCGACATCACCTTGTAAATATGATGCGAATGAGGGTATTGTATATGCATGTTTGCGGTACTTTCTTCGTCATTTTTATTGTTTTAATTTTAGTGTGATATAACAACCAATGTATGGCAATGTGAAGCACCAACCGCCTATAAGAAGGAAGAAACCTTCTTTTTGAGGCCAAATAGGACCAAGGCTTTTTTAAAATACTTAATGCGACATTCACGAACATGTCAGAATAGCTTGTTGCAGGTGGCTGATACATATTATTATGCCACTGAACAATTTGTATTATCGAACGAATTATAGTAATTTACCAATTTCAGATATTCAACATATTTGTTATTTTGTCAATCAGAACGCTAGCAACCATTAGATTCTTTTCTTTAAATGGCGCCCAAACGTCGAAGCAATGGAGGAATGAAAAAATGTGGATTGTTTGTATATATGATATGTACATTTGAAAGTCTAAATTGACTGATTGTAGTGTTGTATTTTACTCCTTAGACATCAACGAGTGTG